AGGGGGTGCCGGCAGGGCCGGATTTTCAACAAACCGCTCTCGTGGCTGCCTGCAAGTGATCTTGTTTGCAGCCTGCTCGTGGGCACAGTGTACACAGAGGTGGTGAGAGAGGTGGGCACAGTGGCAGGGGAAGAGCTGGAAAGAGGTTCAGTGGACACAGTGGTGGTGAGAGAGGTGGGCACAGTGGCAGGGGAAGAGCTGGAGGGGGGTCAGTGGACACAGAGGTGGTGGGGGAGAGGAGAGAGGTGGCACAGTGGCAGGGGGAGAGCTGGGGGCTCAGTGGACACATAGGCGGTGGGGGGAGAAGAGAGACGTGGGCACAGTGACAAGTAGAGAGCCGCCCAAGGCTCTGTACCCCATAGCTGGGATTGAAGGTCAGGTAATCTCTGTACCCCGTAGCTGGGATTGAAGGTCAGGTCAGGGGCAGATCCAGAGTAGAAGGGTGGCAAAAGGGCAATTTTTGCCAGGGGTGTGGGGAAATTATCATGAACACCTAGGAGTAGCCCATCAATGAGGAGCAGGTGTGGGCTGTGTGCTACCAGTGTTTGAATGTAACACCTCAGCCTTCTCTTTGTGATTAATGTCCCGTTTTCATCTTTTATTAGGCCGACCTGCTCCTTCCTTACCATTTTACTGTTTATATATTGGTAGAATTTTTGGGGGTTCTTTTTACTGACTGTGGTGATATGCTTTTCGTAATCTATTTTAGCTGCCCGGATTTCGTGTTTACATCTCTTATTGCATTCCTTGTAGTTCTGGAATGCCAATGCTGTCCCCTTCATCTTATATTTTATAAATGCTATCTTCTTTTCTTTGATGTGTTGTTTTACCGGTTTATTTAGCCATGCAGGCTTAGCTCTTGATCTTTTAAGTTCAAGCTCCTCTAATTTGTTTGCTAGACTTCTAGCATTGGTGTACATACATTTTAGTTTGGTGCTAGCGGTTTGGGTTTTATTATTACTAATTTCTGGAGCCCAACTACTTTTTTTTATTAGACCTTGGTATGGTTGATACATTACTAATTAGATTGACTGCAATGATTAGATTGACTGGAGTGAGCCCTCTATCCCCCTTTGTATTACTGCCCTCTATTAATTGCTCCTTTAGTTACTTCCTCTATGTTTATTATGTCCAGTTTTATTCCCTCCCCCCCGATTATCTCGTTTAAAAGCTCCTCCAGTCTTTTAACCATCCCCCCCCAGAAAGCGCTGCACCTTCCCCATTTAAATGCAGCCCGTCCTCTGCTGAAGAGCTGGTAAACGACTGAGAAGACAGCCCAGTTCTCCATTACATCAAAGCTCTCTTTCTGACACCAGCTCCGAAGCCACTTGTTCAGTTCTCTCAACTCTCGCTGACTCTCTGGAGTGGCTTGTGGCACCGGCAGTATCTCAGAAAATACTACCGTGGAGGCCCTTTTCTTCAAACTAGCACCTAAGTCTCTGAACTCGCTTTTTAGGACACTCCATTTGCTTCCTATTTTGTCATTGGTGCCGATGTGCACCATGACAGCTGGGTCATGCCCAACCCCATCCAGTAACGTGTCCATTCATTCTGCAATGTGTCGCACACGAGCCCCCCGGTAAGCAACAGACTGTTCTACGCTTGCGTCCTGATGGCAGATTACCCTGTCTGTGCATCTGATAATGGAATCCCCCACCACCAAAATTTCCTGTCCTTCCACTTACTGGAGAAGTCACTCCCCCTGCGGATAGGGGAAGCATCCTGCTCCAGCAATGCCACCCCTGAACTAACATCCCCAACATCCTGCGACATGGCCTATTCCTCATCAGTGGCGTAGCGTGGGGTGGGGCAAGGGGGTCACTTGCCCCCGGGCGCAGTTCAGCAGGGGGTGCCGGCAGGGCCGGATTTTCAACAAACCGCTCTCGTGGCTGCCTGCAAGTGATCTTGTTTGCAGCCTGCTCGTGGGCACAGTGTACACAGAGGTGGTGAGAGAGGTGGGCACAGTGGCAGGGGAAGAGCTGGAAAGAGGTTCAGTGGACACAGTGGTGGTGAGAGAGGTGGGCACAGTGGCAGGGGAAGAGCTGGAAGGGGGTTCAGTGGACACAGAGGTGGTGAGAGGTGGGCACAGTGGCAGGGGAAGAGCTGGAGTGGGTCAGTGGACACAGAGGTGGTGGGGGAGAGGAGAGAGGTGACACAGTGGCAGGGGAAGAGCTGGAGTGGGTCAGTGGACACAGAGGTGGTGAGAGGGGGGCACAGTGGCAGGGGGAGAGCTGGAAGGGGGGTCAGTGGACACAGGGGGGGGGGGGGGAGAAGAGAGACGTGGGCACAGTGACAAGTAGAGAGCCGCCCAAGGCTCTGTACCCCATAGCTGGGATTGAAGGTCAGGTAATCTCTGTACCCCGTAGCTGGGATTGAAGGTCAGGTCAGGGGCAGATCCAGAGTAGAAGGGTGGCAAAAGGGCAATTTTTGCCAGGGGTGTGGGGAAATTATCATGAACACCTAGGAGTAGCCCATCAATGAGGAGCAGGTGTGGGCTGTGTGCTACCAGTGTGCCCAGGTACAGGCCCAGAGCTCCCTGGCACCGTGGGACCAGGGTACGGGACCCAACACCAGTCCTCTATAGATTATGGTGTTATGCATTGCTGTTTAATGTAGGCATTAAGCGTGTTATTACGCTTAATGCCCAGCAGTTATTACGCTTAATGCCCAGCAGTTAATACACTTAATGCCCAGCAGTTAATACACCTAATGCCCAGCAGTTAATACACTTTTTATTACACTTGATGCCCAGCCGTTATTACACTTGATGCCCAGCCGTTATTACACTTGATGCCCAGCCGTTATTACACTTGATGCCTAGCCGTTATTACACTTGATGCCCAGCCGTTATTACACTGGATGCCCAGCAGTTCAGCCATTTTCCGCATAAACTTAGCCATGATGGCAGTAAACTCCTACCTAGATAGTAAGTCAGAGAAGGGGGCACTAGAGGGAGCAGGAGTGGACCCTGATGCTAGCAGTGAAGGGGATAGGGAGCTAAGCATGGGGCTAACCATGCTAACACAATTAGTGTTCCCAGAGGGGGTAGAACCCTCACCAGACCTGTTGTCTGGCTGTGGGCTGTGTGGTGTCCGTGCCCTCCAGCCAGGCAACCCCATGTCTACGATATGCCATGTGGGCCCCAGCAATTTACAACCAGTGTGAGAGGGTGTCCCATGTCTAGACACTTGCAGGCACAGGTGACTCTGGCTTGAATGGTGGAGTGGCATAGTAGTGAAGCTTCTTCCCCCTACTGTGTCTGTGGAGAGTTGCATAAGCAGCAGGGAGCATGTATCCAGCCAAAACAAATATCAAGGAGAAAGAATATAGCTGCAAGCAGCAATAAAGGTTGCCAAGCATTAAAGCCGGTTATAGCACATGAGAAGATAATGTAGTTAGAGACATAAATAGCAAAGTTATAAATTCAAAATAGACCTGTATAACTGCATAAGTTTTCATGAATTGTAATATTTTTCCAAATTCAAAATGGCCACCGACTTTGAACAATTCAATATCTCGGCCGAACTATGTGGTCAATTTACTTGTAATGATCAGTTCTGAGTGCAGATCACAAGATAACTTTACACAGCAATTTGAACATCTGTAGCTGTAATAGTTCCTGAAAAACAAATGTTTGAGTATGGAGCTGAATATAATCACCTAAAACAAAATGGCTGCCAGGGAATATGACCTATGACCTTTATGTTGCAAAAGATTAGGCATAGCATAGAGCTCTACCATTGGATAAAGTAACATGAGTTTACGAAGAGGTTGCCCTGGACATATGTGCAAAGCTTTGAATACTTCTGATGTATGGTTTCAGAGTTTAAGTTGTTTGCAGAATATTGCACAATCCAAAATGGCTGCCAAACCATGTGACCAATAGAGCTATAATGAACACATGAGATAACAGAGCACAGCGTAACCTCACACAGCGATTTGTATATCTGTAGCTTTAGCAGGTCTGGACAAGCAGGTTTCTGAATATTTGCAAAAAATTTTGCAAAAACCAAGATGGCTGCCACATAATGTGACCTATGACCTTTATATTGCAATAAGTGCTGCAGAGCACAGAGCTGTACCATTATGCAAAGTTTCATGAGCTTTTCACTAACAGTGCACTTATTACAGGCATTTGAAAAAAGCGGTGGAATAATAATACTAAAAAATAATAATAATAAATATAGCTGCAGGCAGCAATAAAGGTGGACAAGCATTAGAGCCGGTTATAGCACATGAGAAGATATTGTAGTCAGAGAGATACATTGCAGGCAATGATTTCATCATTTATCCATTTTTTTTTTACAAATTCAAAATGGCGACTGACCTTCGTGACATTTGTCAGTCTTCATTAGGGATTGGATTTTTAAGTGAAAACCCGGACAATCAAAATCTCTAATTTATCACTTTTGGCCTGTTAAATATACCATTGAAAGTATTTTGTTATATCTATTCTATAAGTGTAAAAAATACCTGTTAAAGTGCCTTGGGTTATTTTGCAATTAAATGTGAAATTTTGCTTATTATTCTTATAGGGTTTCTTTGTCAGGGTCTAATGGCTAGTGTAGCCAAGTATATGTTTAATCAGAATTCCGTTTCATCTCATTCAAGTTAATAGGAGTGAAAAGATGCTTGATGCAGCTTTGAAAAAAAGCATTTGTGAAGAGAACTCATTGATCTCATAAGTATCTAAAACTGATCTCAAATGTAAGATGAATGCACCTGAAAGCGTGCTGTAGCCCTATAATACTTACTGTAATTCAATTATATGTTACTTTGTTCCAGAAAACAGTATCAATACACTGATCTAAAACAATTATTTGCTATAATAGCCATAATTTTCAAAAATGGCAAGAAATGAGAAATGAAAACAATGAGGGTTATGGCACAAAACACGTTATATGTTATAAAATAAAACAGGTAAGGCAAAATCTAAAATATCTGCTGATTTAATTAATTACTTTATCTGATTTTGGTTAAAGGGATTCATAATGACTTACTTGTCGTTCTTTATGTGTTCATAAAGGCGCTTAAACTGTCGTATCTGAAAAGATAATATTCCCATCAAAATAACCACCATCAGCAGGAAAGGATAAATACGACGTTGAACCAAATTTTGCATTTCATCAGTGACTCCTGTAAATAAAAGATAATTTTATAATTGCATGAAAAGAATCATACATCATAATTTGAATCATAAATATAAAAATAAACACCTCTGCAGTAAAGCAAAAATAAAATGTTTGATAATTTTCACTGGAGTTGCAGGGTGTACATGATATGGAATGATCTTTTTACAACATGCTAAGAAATTAAAGAAAATTTACTGAAAATTGTAATTCTGAACTACCATGTGTGGCATAATGAGAGAAAATACTTCTGGATATGACGGAAAAATTCTGATCAAAATTGCATCATATTTTATTTTATTTGAAAAATGTATGCTTAGTCAAATTATAATAGTGAAGCCAAAATCTAAACTTTTTACATAAACTGTATAACCAGAACATGATGATCTTCCAAAGAAATTCAAACTTTATTCCACTTGCATCTATACAAAGACGCATTTCTGCCTTACTCAGCCTTAGTCATAGCTGGTTGTGGTCTAACACCAACCCTGCTAAAATACCACACAACACAGGGCGGGGAGAAACACTTAGGAACTTAGGAACACCTGTTTTGCTTTTGTGATCACAAAAGCAAAACAGAGGAAAAAAGGAGAATACACACTTCAAAAATTAAACACTTAGGAACTTAGGAACACCTGTTTTGCTTTTGTGATCACAAAAGCAAAACAGAGGAAAAAATATGGGTTTGATGGGTGAAAACCATCAAACTCAAACATTAAAACCCATAATAACAGTGGGAATCACAAACTGTATAAAACTAGTGACTCACTGATAGATAAAGGAGAACTATGAAGTGAGTGATTTTCACTCAACCTCATAGTTCGAGCCGACCTGTGACAATGAAACTGTCACAGGTCGGTTCTATAGATCGGGAAGTGAGCGAACGCATACCATCGCTCACTCACTTTCTGATCATCTCCCTGCAGAGAGCGGTGACTGTTAGTCACCGCTCCCTGCAGGGATTCCCCCACTCCCCGCTCCGATCCTCCAGCGCCGAGTGAAGGAATGGACGGGGCAGGCAGAGCTGGCTCTGTCTCTAGATAGGCAGAGCCAGCTGTCACTCACGCAGCTGGGTGGATCTGGACAGCATTGTTGGGATCTGTCCCGGCTGTGGCGCTCTGAGTATATAGTGAGCAATAGCTCGCTATATACTGAGCTTTGGGTCACAGGAGGACGCTAGTATATGTCCTCCCGTGACCCTTAAAGGACATTTCCACCTTTGTAAGTGATTGCCACTTTTTGTATTAATGTAATGGTGCAGTGAGTATGTATGTGTGTGTGCATTTTCAGTGTTCACAGTGCTGTTTTTCTTACTTTTTTGGGGGTACTGTTTATTGGGCCAGAGACCTAGCAGTTCAAATTTCCCACCACAGGAAAATCCATCAGTCTCTGCTCAGGGTCGTGTTTTTATTTACTTTATGCTGCCCGTAGTGTGAGATCTTCGGTTCTCACAGAGCAGCAGCCAGCCCCGCAACCCTCTCATGCACAAGCACAGTTAGGGTTGCCACCTTTTCTTGAAGTGAAACCCGAACACTCTAGCGCCACGCGCAGCAATTTTTGTTTTGGGGGAGTGGGGGAATAGTGAAAAGAGGCAGCCAGGATAGGGAGTAAGGACTACAGCAATACATTACACAGCAATACAAAATAATATGAAGTTGTATATTTTGTGTTGTTTTGGGTTGGCGCCCCAATGTCTCCAGGTGGCCTGTGCGGGCTCTTAGGTGGGCTGTCTCAGGTGGCCTGTACAGGCTCTTAGGTGGGCTGTGCGGCTCTCAGGTGGCCTGTGCAGGCTCTCAGGTGGGCTGTGCGCAATTTTTAGGTGGGCTATGCGGCTCTTAGGTGGGCTGTGTGCACATTTAGGTGGTCTATGCGGCTCTTAGGTGGGATGTGTGCACTCTTAGGTGGGCTATGTGGCTCTCAGGTGGGTTCTGTGCACTCTTAGGTGGGCTATGTGGCTCTCAGGTGGGCTGTGTGCACTCTTAGGTGGGCTATGCGGCTCTCGGGAGGGGTTGTGTGCACTCTTAGGTGGGCTGTATGCACTCTCAGGTGGGCTGTGTGCACTCTCAGGTGGGCCGTGTGCACTCTTAAAATCTAATTAAAATAAGTACTAAAATCTGAAATATATATAAAAAATAAGTTATATATTAATATATAACTATTTATTTTATATATATATATATATATATATATATATATATATATAATCTGCGGCGCTCGCTGGCTGATTTTAACAATCCTGCAGTTATGTTACATTTGGCACATTTCTTCTGTACTACGTAATAAATCATACAAGAAGACTTGTCATTTAAATTTTTTGTATGATTTATCAGGTAGTACAAGTACATAAATATATTAGTAAAATGTGTATTGCAATCACACAGCATATCACTCAACACTGTTCAGTGACATGTAATGTAAATGCAATACACATTCGTCCCAGTCCCCACTGTCTGTCCCTATCCCCCAGCATTCATGAACTGTAAAACTTGCCTGTGCCTGCGCTCTCGGTCTCTGTCCTCCCTCGGTACCTGCAGGATGTGATGTCAGAGCTGGGAGAAGATAATGCCACAGGAGGAGGAGACAGGCAGATGAGATTGAGCACTGCGGCCATCACAATACAGAGGGCCAGCGGTATGCAGCTTTCTTAGGGAGCCACAGCTCCGGTTTAAATACTGTGTCCGCGTGGGAGGCGAGCTCCCACCCGTGCACAGGATTACAGACCCGTACTGTCCGGGCGAAAACCGTACGGGTGGCAACCCTAAGCACAGTAGGGGAATCGAGCCAATCAGAAAGTCTCCAGCAGCTGAGAAGACAGAGCCCAGCGATGACTCACCCACCCAGCATAGAAGACGGTGCCGTTCTGGGGAGAAAGAAGCTTCTGCTGGACTCGTTGTTAAGGTGGGTATACTTTCTAAACTATTCTCTGATCTTTCTCTCTGTGTCTGTGTTTGTTGGTCTGTGTCCCTCTCTCTGGGCTCTGTATGTTGCTTTGGATTCTCGCTCTCTCATCTTTGTGTCTATATAGGTTTTATTTCCATGTCTATTTGTATGTCTGCCTGACAATTTCTTTCTTGTCTGATCAGCTGGAGCACCGGAAGGACCCCCCACCTGTCCTGCCAGCCAGAGGGAGCCAATTCACTCCAATAGAATGTATAATCAAGGAAAGTGCAACTTCTGCTATTTACACACACCATGTCTCAAACCATCTGACGCTCCCTCTCTCTCCGGGCCTCTCTCTCTCCGGCCCCTCTCTCTCTCTCTCTCTCTCCCGCCCCTCTCTCTCTCTCTCGCCCCTCTCTCTTTCTCATCGGCCTCCCTCTCTCTCTCCCTGGCCTCTCTCTCCGGCCTCCCTCTCTCTCTCCAGCGCCTCTCTCCTGACGCTCTCATGCTCTCTCTCTCCGGCCTCCCTCCCTCTCCGGAGCCTCTCTCCTGACGCCCTCCCGCTCTCTCTCTTCGGCCTCCCTCTCTCTGGCCTCTCTCTCCGTCCCCTCAGTCTCCTCTCTGGCCCCTCTCTCCTGATGCCCTTGCGCTCTCTCTCTCCGGCCTCCCTCTCTCTGGACTCTGTCCTCTCCGGCCTCCCTCTTTCTCTCTCCAGCCTCTCTCTCCTGATGGCCTCCCTCTCTCTCCGGCCCCTCAGTCTCTCTCCTCTCCGGCCCATCTCTCTCTCCGCCCTCCCTCTCTCTCCGGCACATCTCTCATGATGCCCTCGCGCTCTCTCCGGCCACTCTCTCCTCTCCGGCCTCTCTCTCCCTTCTCCCTCTCTCCTGATGCCCTTGCGCACTCTCTCTCCGGCCTCTCTGTCTCTCCGGCCCCCCTCTCTCTCTCCTGACGCCAACAAAAGCAGAGACACCGGCACTCCAATGTGGCAAGCAAACGTCTATTTATGGACGTGCAGCACAGCACATCAATAAATAGACCTCTGCTTGCCACATTGGAGTGCCGGTGTCTCTGCTTTTGCTTGTGTTTGTGACAGTTGCCACCCGTCAACTATCGTAGCAATCGCTTTTCAAGAGGGACTCTGCGGTCAGTAGTGCGATGGGACCATGGACTTTCTCTCCTGACGCGCGCCCACGCTCTCTCTCTCTCTCTCCGGCCTCCCTTTCTGGCCTCTTTCTCTCTCACGCACCTCTCTCTCTCCGGCCTCCCTCTCCTGACGCCCTCCCTCTCTCTCCGGCTCCTCTCTTCTGACGCCCTCGCGCTCTCTCTCTTTGGCCTCTCTCCGGCCTCCCTCTCTCTCCCTGGCCCCTCCGTCTCTCTCTCTCTGGCCCCTCCGTCTCCTCTCCAGCCTCCCTCTCTCTCTCCGGCCTCTTTTCCTTTTTTTTGTTTTATATATATAATGTGGATATAGATATTTCAGTATTTATATGTTTGTATTTTACACTCTCTGTCAGTATTTGATGAATATGTATTTTAATAAAAGTCTTTCACAATATTTTGATTTACACCAAGGCTTTTGTTGAGTTTCCATTAATTTCTGAGGGCTTGTTCACACAACGTCCGGATTGTGTCCGGACCAGATCTGTGCACTCCTGCACCCAAAATGCATCCCAATGTATCCCTTTGTGTGTTTTATGGGATACAGTCCTCACGTGCGCAGTCCGTTCCGGTCTGGAAAGAAAAAATACTGCATGTCACATTTTGTCCGGTCCAGAAATGCATGAACACGTCAAAAACGCGCCAAGAATGCACAGCACTGCAGCTAACATACTGACAGCCCCACTACAGCAAAAAAAATAAAAACACATTTTTTTTTCTTTTAACTGGAACACATCAAAACCGCACTGCATGCACAGCACCGCGTCTGCAGATCTGCACCAGATGTGGACCAGAAAATCGTGTGAACAAGACCTAAAGCCCCTGCTCACACCTAAACGTAGTGTTGAACGTAGAAAAACGCATGTTACCAGAGTGCTGGAGGCCTTTTCTGGGCAGATCAGCGTGGTTTTTCTCCATAAACTCAACAGTAAACACCCACAACACAATTATTTTGCGCATTTCCCCATTAGC